CCTCGTGTCCCACTGCTCTGTGTGCTCACTCCATCTTCCCCAGGGATGCTCCTTTGAGTCCTTGTCCCACATTCCACAAAAACTTGCTGGGAAGCACCAGAAAAGCAGCCACGGCGAGCCCGGGAACTGGTGTAAATCAGTCTGTGTGGCAACCACGCTGCAGATATCGCTCCTATAAAAGATATCACTCATACAAAAGATATCTAGAATGCCATCATCCTGTACCTGAGAGTGCCAGGAAAAACAACCTCCTAAACACTGATTTCTGCCCAGTGTGGTTGTCAATGTTTTCGCTGTGTGAATTCCTCTGCCTCGCAACGGGGATTTTACAGCCAAACCACCTACAAGCTGCAGATCACACACAGGCAGCCAGGATATACCACTTTATTACCCATTTATTGGTGTTCAGGCTTCCAAGATATTTTTCAGGTGCGAATGTGGGGCTGGTTTGGCAGGACTTCCACCTAATTCTTCACTGAAAGAGTGCTCAGGCACTGGAACAGGTGGAGTCACCACCCCTGGAAGTGGCCAAAAAAACAAGGAGATGGTGTGGTTTGGTGGGATTTGATTCAAGGTTGGACTTGCTGATCTTGGAGTTGTTCTTTTTCAACCTTAATGATTCTGTGATTCTCCAGAAGTCACATATGTGTTTTTTCAGCATCTTCTCCTTACCCTTATCTGTCCTTCCTGGTGTTTAACCATCCTTAGCTGCCCTTCCAAGTGTTTTACTTGAATAAAGCCAGAGTACAACTGGCAGCAGCAAGGGAGGGAATGAAAATCCAAGGCAAGGCTGTCTCCATCCACCTCCCTGGCTGAGGAGAGGGAATCTTACCAGATCAGGAAGATAATGTTGGTGTATCACTTACCAGAGGGGTTTTTTTAACTCGTGTTCCTGAGCCTGTAAGCACAGATAAAACAGAAAAAGAGATTTGAAGCTGCTATCTGGCCCAAGAGGCAAAAAAATCTGAGCAGAAACACGGATAATTCCATATGAGACAAGCTCAGAAGAAGCTAATTGGATTCTTTCTTAAGCTAAATTCTACAATGCCATTATCTCTTTGATTATTTACTGCACACAAGTAATAAGCAGACAAAGAGAAATTGCTCCTGGTAAAGTCTTCCAGGGCAGATTTCAGCATCCTGAAAGATTTCTTTTGCTGGAAACACTGTAATAGGTTTGGGTTTTAACACCATCACACCGTGTAAGAATAACAGTTCTGGAAATTCTGAATTCTAGTGCTCCTGTCACCTTTTTTTTTTTTTCCTGTAATAACTGATATATTTAAGCTTCTTCCCATTGGGATTCTGGAGCAGGGAAGTGTCCAGTTTCCCATTAGGAACAGGCACTTCACTGATGACTTCTAGAGGATGCTGCAGCCCTGTTTCCACCGTGGGCTGTGGTCCCTGGCCCTGTGCCACATGAACATTCCAGGGCATCCCAAAGCCCCAGGATGGTGGTGGGAGCAGCCCTGGATGCAGCCACAGCATTCCAGTGGCAAGGACGTGGAAAATAAAGTGACACACAGACCTGGGCTGTCCTTGCCTGTGCTTTGCAACCAGTTCTCTCCACCTTTCCAGCAAGGAATGGTCACTCCCTCCGTGGTTCTCCAAAGGGATGAGCAGTCACAGCAGCAGCTGGAGGGGATGAACTTCCCAGGGCTTCCCCTGCACCACAGATTCACCACTCCCACTTCCCCAGGATTTCCTGAGCCTCCCCAGATGCACCAAATTAAGTTTTGCTCTTTACAGATGCATAATTAACCCCTTGAGTAAACATGTATTCAAACCTGTATAATCACTACTTATTTTTTCAAAAAAGCTGATGAAAGGCCCTTTTAGGTTCCTTAATTGGCTGCTACTTCCTATTAGTCAGCTCTGAGCATGAACTATCAACATGGGAAATGCTCTGTATGGCAGGAACTGGGAATGCAGGGCTGGAATGCAGGATGGCCAAGGGTCAGGGTGCACGATCAAACACACCTCATGTGGGTTTGTGCAATACAGATTAAATACAGATTAATTCAAGTGGAAGAAATTCAATCCCAAACCCAAACCCACCAAGTTTTATCTTTAGGTCATGGGGTGGTTGTAGATTTTGGGATGGTTGGTTGTACAGTGGATCAGGACTTGTCCTGGAAAGACAGTTTCCATGAAAACAATGTCAGTACAAGAGATGTGCAAGCTGGAATTAATTAGGGACAGATAATCAAGCTGTGCAGTAAATATACCACTGTACAGCTCAATTAGCAGTACATGCCCAACAGGAGTTAATTTCCTGATTCTTTACCATTTTAAAAGGAATGGTTAACACATAGTTCCCAGGACATTCATGACCAGGAAGGCACAAAACCTGTGGCTCAGTTCTTTGGATAACTCAGTAACCAATTTAACCACTTATTTTCAAAAATAAAGCCTGAAGAGAAGAGCAGCTCTTTCCATTTGAGATAATATAGACTGAAAGAACCAGCATGTAGATCCTCACAGCTCCTCCAATCACACTATAAATGAAGGATCCTCCTTGCTTTACAACATCCCTGGTTTAAGGCAACAAAGAAAATCAAATAATGCTCCCAGATTCCCCTTGGGAGGAACGGGTTATTGAATTGCACATTATTTCAAGGAGTTCATCTAGAATTACACCTTCCCCTGACCAAGCACTCAGAGTCCCAGCTGCACTGCTCATACTTTTCTTTGAATACTTTCCCTTATTCCTTTCTCTCTGCTCCAAAGGCCAGGTGGATCCATTGGCTGTGCTGCAGTGCTCTCTGCTGGCACCAGCCTGGGAGTTCCTGGGATGCTCCAGCTGAGCAAAGGCAGTGGCAAGGCTGTCCCACCCCCTGTCACAGGGTCAGAGAATCACAGAATCATTTGGGTTGGAAAAGACCTTTAGGAACATCGAGTCCAACCATTAACCCAGCGCTGCCAAGCCCACCAACAAACCATGTCCCCAGGTGCCACCTGGGATTGTCCTGCTGCTGCTGCCAGGCCCAAAGGTTTACAATCCCTGAGTCAGGCTCCTGGGAAACCCAGGGATTACCAACACTGCTGCTTTCTATTTGCCTTCTGAGTTTGTATTTACATTCAGGGTGTTGTGTCTCAAAACTTCTCTGTTTGGAAATCCCCAGTGCTTGAAAACCCTCCTGCCCTGCTGCCCTGTTTGCCCTCTCACTGATAATCACACAATCCCCCAATGGTTTGGGTTGGAAGGGATATTAAAGATCCTCTATTTCCACCCCCTGCCATGGGCAGGGACACCTTCCACTAGCCCAGGTTGCCCCAAGCCCCATCCAACCTGGCCTTGGACACTTCCAGGGATGGGGCAGCCACAGCTTCTCTGGGAGACCCATTCCCACCCTCATAGGGAAAAATTTCCTCCCAACATCTAATCTAAATCTCCACTCAGTTTAAAACCATTTCTCCCTGTCCTATCATTATCTACCTGTGTCAAAAGTCACTCTCCATTTTTTGGTAACATCCAGGAGATATTTTCTTCTCTCATTCTTTTGCCAAACCTCCCAGAACTGTTCCGGGTTCCTTCTCCCCAGGGATGGGGAAAACAGCTCCTTCCAAACCCCTCTGCAAAGGGGCTGCTGTGATCTGTGCATTGTGCTGTTGTTTCCATCCCACCTCCTCACTCTGATTCATGCCATTAAAACCTGCATTGCTGCTCACTCTGAGTGCCTTTGGTTAATAACTGCTATTTTAGCTCGAGCCCACGGAGAGCTCAGCACAAGTCCCTGAACTGAATTGCTGCTGTCCCAGATTTCCATCAGGCAAGGTCGAGAGCCACCATCTCCATGGATTCTTCCCACAGCAGAGCACACAAAGGAGCCTTTCCCTCTTGCTCCTGCTGGTTGTTGGTGTTTTTCTCAGTGTGTCTCTGAAGGCCACGCTGGACACTGGGGATGTTGCAGCTCTCACATGCTGAAGAGTCTGCTCTCCTTCTTTTTTTTTTTTCCAGGCAAGTTTCTTCCTGCTCTAACTGCCAGTTGCCCCCAGCACTGCCCTGCTGCAGTCATGCTCTTTCTGTGAGATTTATAACGTGTTTACAGCAGGTTCTACAAGAGCAAGACAAGACATGGGCACCTGCTCCAGTTTATCACAGCCACCTCCTCCTGCACAACTCAACTCCAAGGATTGCAGAGGAGTCAATGCTTCCCTTTTGTTCTCATTATCTCCATCTTAAACTTCTCTAAAGCAGCCACAGGATCACAAATCATGTCATTTTTTCATTTCATTTCCCCTCAGTGAACCCAGCCTGGCTCAGTGCTGCCCCATGACAAACAGACAGACCCCAGGGTCAGACACAGCGTCACAGGGAGGATGGATGCTCCTGTATCCCTGCCAGTTTGTGTTCCTTATTGGCATTCTGTTTGGAATTAGATCATAATGAACCCACTTCAGTAAAGCACTTGTTGCTCCCCTCCTCTGCCTTCCCTGAGCACGTCTCCCACCACCTCCCCAGGACCTGTGGGCAGCACCCAGCTCTGCTGTGGGTTCCTTCCACTGAATCCATCCTAAAAATCCCTCCCTGGTCCAGGGTGTCCTTTCTGGGTTATCTCACAGCACAAGATTAAACTGGGGCTGTTAAATTTCCAGTTAGGACACAATGGCTGGCAGCTTGTGGGAAAGCAAAATAAATTGATAAGAAAATCCAAAATCATAAAATTGTTAAGTTCAGGAAAGACCTCCAAGATCATCAAGTCCAACCTTCAACCAAACATCACCTTGTCAACTAAACCACAGCACCAAGGGCCACATCTGCTGGTTTTTTGAACACTCCCAGGGATGGAGAATCCACCACTTCCCTGGGCAGCCTGTTCCAGAATCAGAGAAAGGCTTGACCTGCATGTCCATGTTTTTACCTACTCACATGTAGGGCACATTTCTGTCTGTACGGGGTAGAGGTACCCCCAATAAACCACCTCATGGCTCTCTGGGCTTGTCCCAGTGGTGGAACTGGTTCCTCCTCACTCCAGAGGTCCAGCTGAGGCCACAAGATGGATTTCAAGGTAAAACCAATGCAAATCCCACCAAAATGTAGCACTAAAGACAACCTGCACATTCAAACCCACACCCGGAAATTCTGACCAAAAGTGGAGTTCACAGAGTTGGAGCCTGGCCAGAAAAAAGAAAAGAACAATATCAAACAGCCTTTGCCCTGGAATGAAGCTACTGAGAAAAACATATTAAGAAAAAGAATGTGATTTTCTAGTATTGCCTCAGAGCTGATTTATTCCTGATATAAAACTAAACTTCGCAGTGATATGTACTTTTTTCATGCATTATTCTAGGTGGCAGTGTAAATCAACTGAGAATGCAGTCAGTAAAGTCGTTATTGCCAGCTCTAAAAATCCTCCACTATAGAAGAGATTCAAAGAATTATTAATATTTCCTAGATTCATGTGTGCTGTGCTTGAGGAGGCACTCACAGGGAGGGCTTGAAAGTCAAAATAGAGCCATTGTATGGGTGAAAATAGCCCAAAAACTGGGGATGGAGATTACCCTTCGCTGTGATGATTTTTCCCTGTGGGTTTGTGCCATTTAAAAACAGTGAGGAGCCTCACTTTGCCAGTGCTGGAGCATCCTGGTGGGAAACCCTGTCCTGGTGGGAAACCCTGTCCTGGTCCAGTCCCACCTGCCCCACAGAACTCCCAGTGCCACACAAAAGAAAGTGGGGTGTTTTCTAAATACCGGGAGTCACCTGTTTGATTAAGGCAAATTAAATTCGCATCCCACCCGGGGGATATTTCACCGCTGCCGAGGAGCTGCTGCTGCTGCTGCTGCTCTGCCTCTCCCGGCGGCGGAGGCGATTCCCGGTGGGAAGCTCTGGGGTTCCCAGGTCCCGCCGCCTCCTCCTCTCACCCCCCTCCCAGCTCGTGCTCGTGGTGATTTCCTCGCCGTCAGGTGCTGCCTGGTTACCATCCCAGCAGCTCCATCATCATCTCCTCCTCCTCCTCCTCCTCCTCCTCCGAGCGGGCTCTAATCCCCGCACACGGAGCCGGGCGGGAGCGGCGGCCAACAGGAGTTGCTTTGTTGGTGCTGACTTGGGTAAGCGAAAAATATCCTTTCCTTGAGAGCCATTTGCTTTTCCTCTTAGCCTGCTCCGTGCGCTGAAGCGGGGTGGGGATTCCTGCTAACCTGCCTTTTTTTTTTTTTTTTTTTAAAGATGAATTTTATCTCGTAAGGGGAGTTCTCTGTGCAGGCAGAATCCTCCAGCACTCGGGTTGTATTTAGCATTTCATAGAAAGCTGCCTCTGGCATTTTACTTCCCAAGTATTTTATGGAACCTGGAATATTTCTAATTAAAATCGAGCTTTTGCAAGTGTCCATCTTTAACTACTAAGTTAAAGCACTGCTTTCGAATCGATGGAGTGGAGGGGGGAATAGAAGATGTTTGAGGTGGGTTTGTTTTTCATGGCGAGCTCCTGTGTCCAATTTCTTGTTCTTTTGTCCCTGAACGCAGAGGCTGCCCTGGCACTTCATTCATTCACATGCAGATTGCTTGCTTCGGTGTATTTTTTTTTTTTTTTTTAAATCAAAGCCCTTTGAGTTTATAATCTCTTTTTTTTTTTCCTGTAAACTTCTAATTCCAAAGGCAAACCCATGAAAGCTGCATGTCTCTTCCCCCCTCCACATGTAACTTTGTCACGAGACTATTAATCATGCCTTACAATAATTTTGCTAATGCAGTACATCCATTCAGAAGCAGTGGCTGCCTGCAGATGGATTTGCTACTGTGGTAGCAGAACAAATTTCCTCAGGAAATATTTAAGCAAGGTCATAATAACATTCATTACACTCTGATGTGTCGTGCTGGATCAGAGTAGAGCAGCAGCCACATTTTTTGACTTAGGCTGTAGAGGAGCCCAAAGGTTAGACATTAATGTAAATACTGTTTATTACTTCATATATATATATATAAACTCATCAGATTGAAGCCCATATGCTGCTTAATTTGTTCTGATGGGGAAGAGGGAAGCTGAACAAATGAAAGCAATGTTATCTACTTCATTTTCAGCTCTAAAGGTCTTCACCTGCCTTCGTTAATGAGCTTTGCAATCTTATTATGCAACCTTAACACTCTGGTGGGATTGCTCTGCCCAGGGGTGAAGGGGCAAAAGGGGCAACACAGACCCTTGTTTAGAGCAGGTGTTTAAAATAATGTGTATTTTGGGTGCACTTTGTGTGTGCAGCCCACTTTTGGGGCTGGAATGCAGGGACTGGAATGCCCCCTGAGCTGGGGGTGAGGTGCTCGTGGAGGGGGTGTCAGGATGGAGCTGACAAGTGAAGGAGGGGCAGGGGCAGGATGGACACATCACCTGGCAGGAAAACCTGCCAGTGCCAACACAAAGTCTGTTTGCCCAACTGTTGTTATGTTTTCTATTCCTGTGGGAAGTAAAGTTTCTTCAAGCAAGTGAGTAAATATGATAAATCCTATTTACCTACGTGCTGTGTCCCAACAGCAAGAAAGGGATTGGAAAGGTGAGGCCCTGGCACAGATTTCCCAGAGGAGCTGTGGCTGCCCCTGGAAGTGTCCAAGCTCAGGTTGGACAGGGCTTGGAGCAACCTGGGACAGTGGAAGGTGTCCCTGCCCACGGCAGAGGGTGGAATGAGATGAGCTTTAATATTCCTTCCACCCCAAACCATTCTGGGATTCTGTGGCTGTTGGGCCAGAGCTTGAACAAATAACAAAGCCCAGACAACAAATACATCAAACATTGCATTCTCCCCAACTTCTGTGAAGTGCAACAGGTGACTTAACCAGATTGAGAGACAAAGACAAGCTCTTGGAGCACCAGGGAAGTCACAGGTCTCTTAATCCCATAATCCCAGCTGGATTGAGGGGTTGCTGTGTCCTGCCCCAAATCCCTTTGCAAATACTTTCCCTTGTATCAAAAGAGGAACAAAAAACCTTGAAAAGGATGTGATCCAGCACAAGGAGGAAGGTGGGCAAGTGTTCATCACCTGAGCCCACATGGAATCCCAGGATGGTCTGGGTTGCAAGGGACCTTAAACACCCTCCACTTCCACCCCCTTCCCCCTGCCATCTGCAGCTTTACATTTGAGGTAATTCAAACCTTCCATTATTTTGCTCTCAAAACAGCCCCACGCACTCCCCTTTCCTGCAGAAAGGGGAGAGGAGGCAGGAAATGACTTGCTGATGATGGCACAGAAAAACTGAGAGAGCAGGAAATCAGCTCCACGTGCTGGGAGTCAGAGCTGCTCATCCAGCCCAGCAAAGCAAATGCCACACACACAGAGTGACAGCAGGAGGAACTATAGGATGAGCAGATGATTCACAGGAGATTAAAGAAAACATGATACCACCTTCCTTCAGAACCAAAATCCGTTTGAAAACAAGAAACTTGTTGATTTCCCAAGGAATTAAACAGATTGATAAGGGAGCAGCGCTTAAACGAGCAAATATTGGGCAAGTTTGACACTTGGGTGTGAATTTGTAGAGGTTCCAGTGTACAGGGCACCCCTGTCACCTCCCATGGGGGGGACACAGTCACCTGTGCCCAGCCCAACCTCCCCACGAGGGGCTTCTCTGCCCTGTGCCCCTCCTGGGCTGCCCCACAGAGCTCGTGCCAACCAGGATGTGCTTCCATGCACAGGAACAGAGCCCAAAATGCCATTTGTCCCCAGGGCCAGGCTGACCTACTTGGTTTTTTTCTTTTTTTTCACTTCATAATCTTTGACAGTAGGCTGGGAGAGAAATGGAGGGGTCATCTCAACTGTACCTGTCACTCAGCACCACGCTGCCATCACGCATTTGGTATTTATTTCAAGTGGATAAAACTCACCTTTCACCACCAGCTGAATGTCTCTGCCAGAAAATCCTCTTTTCGTGATATTCCACATCTGCAGATTAGGGATGGGTGGGTGACTGCAAAGAAAACATCATTTAGGGGCTCAAAATAATTGGCAGGAAGGTTTCTTCTAATTGATCAGCACTGTTGTGAAGGACTTTTGACCTTCACTGATTCCAAACAACAAGATAAGGTTGGTTTTTTGGGGGAGTTGTATTTTTAGGAGTTACACATGCATCAGAAACCAGAAGGTAAATAAAGGCCAAGTGCATGTGGCCTTTGGTGATTTTATGGACTGAAGCCTTCAACTGTTTACAATGGAGTCAATTTTGTTTTCAGTAATGTTAAATTAACCTTTAAAAATTGTGTCAAGGAGCTGAAAACCCCAAAAAGGTGCTAATTAAGGAGATAAAGTAGGTTCAGGAGGAATTCAATACCTAAACTGCCTGTCATGACAAAAGATCCTTCAGCTGTTTCTCTGCTTTAATATTTCTGCCTTTCCCAAATGTTTATTTATCCCTGAAAGCTTCTGCTTTGTCTTCTGAAGGCTCAGCTGTGTCCCACAGCTTTTGGGCAGCCCTTCCTGCTCTGGGAATTGGGATGTTCCATGTCCCAAGGGATGTTCCATGTCCCAAGGGATGTTCCATGTCCCAAGGGATGCTCCATGTCCCAGGGGATGCTCCCCATGCCCAGGGTGCTGCTGGCAGCCCCCCAAACCCCTGCTGCCTGGAGATATTTTCAGTGCATTTCTTTAACATCCTGAAAGGGAGGACAAGCCACTTTAACAGGTATTTTTTTTCTAGTCTCAGGGGCTTCTTTCTCACCTTCTAGTCATTAGCCCTGATCTCATTAGGGGTGCTTAGAGGTTTGTGTAACCTTTCACACCTCCCAGCCCTCCTTCAAGCTCTAACTCTCCCGGTGTTCCCCATGCCCACAGCTCCCCTGGGTTCCAGCAGAGCTGCCTGGCCTGGCTCTGAAGAGATCAGAGCTGGGGGGGACTGGGACATCCCCAAGGTCACACTGCCACGAGCAGCAGGGAGGGTTTCAGGCGTGGGGATCACCCAGAGCCTGCACTCACACAGGTTTGCTGCAGTTACACCCTCCAACGCTGGTGACACACACTCAAACACCTCTTGCAGAGCTGGGGTGGCTCCAGGAAGCTGCATTTTTGGTGGGCTGCTCCCATCGCTGCTCTCAGGGCACCCAGAGCTGGGCTCTCCTTCGTGGCATCACAGAGGAGAGGGGAAGGTTGTGACTCAGAGCAAAGGCAATCTGTCAGTGAACAAAAAAGCAGAGATGTCAGCAGCACAAACTGTGTGAGACACATCAACAAAAGGTTTTCTATCAAATCCCCTCCCTGCTGTCGTGATCTCTTCAAACTATTCATTATTTGAGCAATAAAACCGTTCCACCATCACCCACCCCCATCGCTGGTTGTACATAACTCATAATCCATCAGGTTGGGGATGTTTCAGTTAAAATTAGCCACTGTTCAGCAGGGCTTTTTTAGCCACTAAATGTGAAGCACAGCGTAAACATTTGTATTTGCCAACATGCTCTAAATGAGTGCAGTGACAAGAGAGAGTTCCCATATGGTCACCAGCTCCTCCCCAGCTGATCCACTCTTCCATCCCTTGCAGTGGGACATAACATCAGGGACATGGGCAGCACAAACAGTTCATGGAATCACAGGATGTTTGGGGTTGGAAGGGACACTAAAGATCATTTTGTTCCATCCCTTCTACACCTTCTACTGGACCAGGTTGCTCCAATCTGGCCTTGGACACTTCCAGGGGTGGGGCAAGCTGTGAGCAGCAAGAGCAGCACAAAATTTCACGTGCTTGAAAAGCCGGACTCCTCTGGCCCAGCATCCTGAATCCAGCTTGTTCTTCATGTGAGCACAAGCCATGGCAGTCACCTCTCCTCCTCCTCCTCTTCCTCACAGCGTTCCCTGCTTCCACTCTGGAGGAGATGGGTCGCAAGGAAGAGGATGACAGCAGCTCCTGGAAGAAGCAGACGAGCAACATCCGAAAGACCTTCATTTTCATGGAGGCCCTGGGATCGTGAGTACCACAGCTGCTCCCAGGGCAGGGGATCCTCCAGATCCCACCTTCCCAGCCCAGGGCAGTGACTCCCTTGCTGGCACTGGCTCCCTCTGAGACAGTCCCTGGTCTCAGGTGAGGGTGGGTGCCCATCCTCCTGCAGGGGTGCTGCTGGTGCTCTGATTCATGGCTTGTGTGTGCCTTGAAGCACCAAAACAGCTCCTTCCCTCCCAGCCCCAGGCACAGCTCCAGTTCCTCTCTGCCCTTCCCTCCATCCCCTCTAAGATTGCAGGAAACCTCAGCTGAATAAGTTCTAGGTCCGTTCCTGCTGAGGAATATCACAACAAGTCATATATTTAGCTCAGAAACCCTGACTCAGTCGGGGGATGAAACAAAAACAAGGATGTTGGAGTCGTACAATCCTTCCCTGTGAGTTCACAGCTTCATTTGCCTATTCATGGGGGATGAGACAAGAAAACATTTCCAAGGTGGTGGAGGAGGAATTGAATTACCTCCACCGGCGGGTTCTGTCATGGAAAAATGTTCTGTGACTCCAGAGCCCACAACAAAGCTCCCAAAAAACAGCCACATCAGAGCTGGGTGACGTTTTGACTGTGTCCCTCAGCAGCCTCAGAAATTAGTGAAATTATCCAGCAGCTTTCACTAAAGGAATGAGGTTAGAAAGAGCTTTGTTCTCTCCTAGCCAACTTGTTGATTCATCATTTTTTAATAAGGGGCATAATTATTATAAACTGTTTGGGACAGATACATAGAACAGATGCCCCAGCAGCTGATTTGTAGGTTGTTCATTTCCTACTATTACATTAATAGGAAAATTTAGCATTAGA